GAAACTTCTAGAAATAAACATAACTGTAATGAAATGAAAAACTCAGTGAATGAGGAAAAGTGTGTGTTTGAACTTAAAGGAAAAAACCCTCAATGGATGGACCTAAGGGAAGACTGGATAAAGCTGAAGAGAAAACAAACCGGCAGACACTAAGAAAAAATTATCCAGGAAGACAAATAGAAACCACAGAGGGAATAGAGAAAGTCTAAGTTTAATTAGAGTCATAGAAGGAGATGAGAAACAAAATGAGCAAAGGTGAAGTTTGAAGTTAATGGCTAAGATTTACCATAGGAGGTGAGATACCAAACTACAGATTTATGAAGACGAGTGATTGCAAGTAGAATTGTTTTTAAAAAAACCTAAACTTAGATATATCAAGATGAAACTGTAGAAAACCAAAGGCCAGAGAAAGTCTTAAAATCAGCTAGAGAGAAAGATTATCTTCAAAGAAGTGATACGCAGACCATTGCCTTCTCGTCAAAAGCAATTCTGATCATGTTATTCTCAAAATTTTCAATGGCTTTCCATCCCTAAAATATAAAAGATACATTACACTCTTTAGCATATGAGGCCTTTCGTGGTCTCGTCCCTGCAGCTTGTTTAGACACATAGAAACTTCCTCCTCCACAGGTTACTCTTGTTGGTCTGCCTTTGCGCGTGCCCCTGTCCCTTTCTGGAACGCTCTCCGTGGCCATCCCTCCGGCCAGCTCTTTCTCAGCCTTCCCATTTTCAGCTCAGGAGCGCACTGTCAAGCTGCCTGTCTCCCTTCTTACTGCCTCTGAGTGCACTGCTTGCCAGCTGTCATTAGCACCATGTACTTTCAATGTTTGTTGTCATCGTTGTCTCACTTCTAGCACATGAGCTCTCTGAGGACAGAGACAGGGTCATTTGTGGTGCCTGACACTCCATCGACATTCAGGACCTTTACTGGGTTACCTCCAGCATTTCAGGGGATCCCGTCACCGCTTACACGATATCCTGATGTAGGTCTCCGTGGCTCTTCCCACGGTGCTCTGAATTTTGCTTGTGTGGAGAACAGGTCACCATGGTCAGCACCAGGATCTCTGCATGCTGTCATCGACTGGCTCTGTCTGTTCATTACTTGCATTTCCTTGGTAAAATGTGATGACAGCACTCACCCTACCCACAGTATGAAGTTGTGGGGTGGACCAAATGAAGCGATGCATGGGAGCACCCTGTGAAAGCTCTCTGGCACCATGCGATTTTATTAGCTTTATTTCGGGGTGGGGGGGAGAGAAAGAGGGCCAGGCTTGTTTGGGTTGGGATTTTGTGAAGAAGGGAACTTGTTGGCGCCCCGCACCTTGGCCCTGGCAGGGGCTAGCCGTGAGGTCTAGAACGGTCATCAACGCGCTCTATGCCTGGCAGACTCGCGGCGTAGCCAATAGCTGTAAGGTGGGTGTTACCTGCCCCTCTGAGTGCTTGTGTTGCCATTTCTCCATTTCACTGGGGGGAGGGGTCCATAATATAAGTCCTCCTGGTTGGTTGATTTTGAGAAATCTGAAGGGAGATGTTTTAATTTATAAAAAACAGTTGCAGTTTTCATTGAATTTTTATTGGAAATTGTAAATTTTTGTGGCCTCTCATTCAGAGATGGAAAAAGCTTAGATTTGTCAGAGTTCGTCACTCTTTTAATTGGATGGATTGAAACACCTTTGTGCCCAGTTCCTCTTCTCCTCATGTTGCCCCCACTTAGCATCATGGTCTAATCATGAAAGAAGAGAATCGATAACCGGGCAGTAACTAGATTCACTGGCACAGGGCCCACCCCACCTCTCCGTCAGCCTTGCTCCTCCCCCATCCCAGGCCCTGCCCGCCCAGCGCCTGTGTCATCGGCCTGTTGGTGGCTGCAGTGAATCTGTTACTGCTCCCTCACTGTGCCAGGCCCTTCCACAGCTCGAGGCCTTTGCGCGCGCTCTGACCCTTCTCCGAAATGCCCTTCCCTGAAATGCCCTTCAACTTCTTCATCCCTCTTCATAACATCTATATGTCCCTCAAGCCCCAAGTCACTTCCTCAGCAAAGTTTTTTTACTTCCTTACTGGAGACAGCGACAGCACGTTACTTCTCACTTGAGCACACAGCAGTGGAAGAGTTTTGTGAACCTAGTAGTTCAGCACACTTGGGTTTGAATCCCTTCCCTGCAGCGTGGACTGGAAAGAATGAATAAATATGGAAGTTCTCAGCACGAAAACTGTATTCAAAGCCATAGCCCAGATCTCTCTCTCAGTTCCAGGCCTTCATGTTGAACTGTCTCCCACCGTTATCACTTGAAGGATTCACAGTTGGCCTCTCACATTGAGCCACCTCTGAAAAAGAACTGATTTTCATCTTACTCTCTAGTCTTTCCTGTGCCAATAATGACGCCTCCTCCATCAACCTAGCCTCAGAGGCCGGAAAGCTGGAAATAACCCTGAGCTCTCACATCGACTCATCACCAAAGTCTATTAGATCAACTCCAAGTAGGTGTTAAACTGATTCTTTCATTTCCACCTCCAATGCTTGCATGCAAGCACCGTCCTCCATGTCTGGACTACTGCAGGTATGAGCCTTGGGCAGTGTCATTTTCTTGCACACAATTCTTAGCAAGCTTCCCATTGTGTTTAGGTTTGAATTCAGGACTCTCAAACCCCAGAAGGCTCTGCCTGGTGTGACTCCGTCTACCCCTCATTCTCATCTCTTGTCATACACATTTCTGCTCGCTGTGCTCCAGCCTCGTGGTCTCCTTTCTCTTCCTCGACTGTAACAAGAACTTCCCACCTCTGCCTCTTCCCTAGAGACATCTCCCCGCTTTTTTCCCTTCTTCATTCCTACACACACCATCCTCATTGTCTCAGTTAAAGTGTCACTTCAACACAGGGCCTTTCCCTGACCTTATAATGTAAATCATATATCCTCTCCTCTCTTCCATAAGGAACTATTCCTTCCTTCCTACCATTCCTCACAACTTACAACTTTATATTTACTGAGTGATTATTTATTGAGTTCCCTCCCACATTAAGATTTATGCTTTATAAGGGCTGGGACTGTATTTCTTTTATTCACCACTGAATCCTTAATGCCCAGTGCTCAATAAATACACACAGGATAAGTGAATAAATAAGGGATCTTGTGATGAAACAATCCAGTAGATTCTCTCATTAAGTTGGCAACTTTGCCCTTCAATGTGGTGAGAGGTAGTTTTGGGAAAACCTATTAAGGTGATTCACCTTTCTAACCTGGCATTGTGTTTCTTCATATTTATTGAACACATCTATGATGCTCACCCTCAGGGCTGTAAATTTATTTTAATTTGTTAGTTAATTTATTAGCTTTATTTCTGCCAGGTTATTCTTATGAACATGGAACCTGAAAACGTCATGTTCAGGTGTGATATCAGAACATCATGGCTGGGTCCGCTGCTGTGGCTTGCCCTCTTTCTTTGCATACAGCCTGGCATCAGCTTGGGAAGTGAAGACTTGCTTTTTGTTGGGGTGGAATTTAAAGCAACAGTCATAAGCTGGAGCTATCAGTGACTACCTCAGAAAGCCGTGTATGCCCAGGATTTTGGGTGCTGTGGTATAGCCCTCACTGCCCTGTGTTGACTGCCAGCTCTTGAGTCTGAGAGCTCAGATATTAGCTCTCTAGGTAGACTTTACTTGTTCATGGTAATTCCAGGCTCCTAATCTTTCCGGAATCAATACCTTGTTCTGCAGAACACATGGGAAGATATGTTATGGAACAGATCATCAACTTGTGTGGTTCTTTCTCTCCCAAAGAGTATAAGAGGTGTTGTTCTGGAAGTAACCAATGATTTTGGAATTCTGAACTATGGTCTAAGGTAAAAGATGAACTTGGATGTTGTCCCTCTTTTACTGATGGATAGGGTGATCAACAACAGGAAAGGGCTCATTTTTTCCTTCTGGAAAACAGTGAGAATTTTGCTTTCCATAGGCACAATGGTAAGTATATTTCAGCATAGATGGAAAAGCAAACTGTTGGCCATTCTTAAGCCCCAGTAGGTCAGATCATGTCAGTGTTTCCAGAGGATGCCCACAGTGGTAAAAGCTGGCTTTAAGCTGGGGCTTTGCTAAGAGGCAGCTGGTTCCGAAAAGGATTTATTTATTTTGGCCTTGGTAATGTCCAAATGATGATAAGTACAAGCTTCTCTTAGCTCTCTGGAGTGGGTCCCACATGAATTGGTTGTGACCCTTAGAACCCAGAAACCCCAGTTTAGTTGGCTAAGAATATTTTGTGGTGTGGGGGACTCTAATGTAGTGCACGAAAATGCAAAATATTAAATGTTCAAAAGTGTGTGATTTGCTGCTTTTGTTCATGAGTGGTTTTAATACTTCCAGTGCAGAGCCTGACTCTCTTTACTGGGGAGATGTGGTTTCAGTTTCTAGGGTGAATGTGCATTTTATAAGTTTTTTTTAAGAAAGGAAATTAAACATTAAAAGACTTTAAGTACTTTACTCTTTATATAATGTCACTAAGAAAGCCAGGAAAATCAGGGTTGGCATTTTTATTTATTTATTTAATAAATATAATCTATTTTCCACCATTTTGTTTGCTATGGCTGATACCAAAGTACTTTTAAAAGTTAACATTTATTTTGATTTTTATTTCAACAGATGTGCATAATAAATTAACCTATCGCAGGAGCAGTATTTATTATCTAGTTATTTTGGCATTTTGACATGTAGGCAATTGAGTTTAATTCAGGCTAGTTTGATGCTGTCCACATGTGTGATGCTTAGCATATGCGTGAGCATTAATGCGAGTGGGTGAGGTGATTGACCTTAGCCAAGTCACCTGACCACCGGGGCCTGGGTTCCCGTTTCCATAAAGTGAGCAGTTTGGGGGTAAAAAATGGTATCCAAGAACCTTTGTAGCTCTGAATTTAAAAATCCCACGAGTCTGTATGCCTAACAGATTATGCCTAATGGATATGCGTCTAACTGATTCCTCCCCTTCTGTCTGTTTCCTTCTGTTTTTAATTAAGGAAAAGAGGATGCCGGTGCACCAGTTACAGAAGACGAGAGCACCTCCGTGACGCAGGACATAAGCGCTGTACCGGAGAAGGCGCTGCAAAGATCAGCAAAGGTCATTGCCTACAGATCTTCTCCATTTGTGTGAATGGCTGTTACCTGAGCTACCTGTCAGAGGTCTCTCATGTGACACTTAGGACTATAGTTGGTCAGTTAATCAGAACAGTCAGTGGAAGCAGGGTATTATAAAAAGAGATTTTTTTTTATAACTTTAAACATACACATATGTATTCATTTGCCTGTCTTTGGATGAAGGGCCAAGGCCTTTTCTTTGTGTGTGGGTATGTTTATTGAAGTTCTGCGTTATTTTTTTTGTTTAAACCACACTTGTAATGTGGCATCTACGATTTCCAGTTTGGGTTATTTAGAATGGAGTGAGAATTTAGACACTGGTGAAACAATCAATATTAACATTGAGTCCTTCTGGATTTTTATGGCTTTTGGCTCCATTGGGTTTTTTTTATTGTTGTCATGCCCTTATCTAATTCAAAAGTAAGCTCTTAAGAAGTGTTTTTTAGTTTTTCCAAAGTATTTAAGTTAGTTATCACAGACACAAAAACAATTGGCTTTTGTATCCTGTTGTTTTGCATAACTCAGTTTTATTTTTTAATTACGTATACTAGTGGCATAGCCAGGCACAGGATCAAATACAGCTGACCCAAGCTGAATAGCCCGCGGTGGAGGAAGCGGCGTGTGGGAGGGCAGAGAACAAGGTGGCACAGTGGCGCGAGGCTCCCTCTGCCTGAAGCTCGGGCGGCGTGTGTAACCGAGGAAGGCAGTTTTGCCCCTTGGTCGAGCGAGCTGGTCAGGAGAGTATCTCTTGCGTAATGACATGAGGGACTTCTGAGTTATATTGCATACATGTCACCTGCCATTGTCCATCCAGGTCTTTATTTTAATAAGCATTTTCAATACCAGCCACATATCAGGAGCATGCTCAGTGTGGAAGATTATAATGAGTGGGAAGCCTGTGTGCTAGATCTGGCTCACCGACTTGTGTTTTGTTTGACCTGTCAGTATTTAAAATTTTGACTTGGTAGCTTACACTAAAAAAAAAGAGTGGAGTGTTCACATAAAAAAAATTAGACTTCTGGCTTCTCCTGACAAAACAAAACATCTAGCAACGCTAGGCCACACTCTGAAATGACTTCAGTCAGAGCCGAGCAAAGGCAATCCTCTGGAGATGGAGCTCGTAATTTGCTGCTGCCTCCAACTGTGCCCTCTTTCTAGCTGGGGTGGGTTGTTTGGTTTTGCTTTGTTTTGTCTTTTGATAGTTTCTTAATGAATTCAAATTAAAATTACAAGGCCAAACAGCACTTGTATGTGGAACCAACGCTGTGGGAAAGTCATTTCTATGACAATTCACATAGGAATCACAAGTCGTGTCAAGCTGCTTTATATGCTTCATATGCTGTCAAATATTAAAACAAGAAGTGAGGGCTTCTGATTCAGACAAGATGCCATAGATTCGTTTTTCCTTGCTCTTCCTCAGTACAATTAAGTACAACTATGAACCCTGAAAAATAACCAGAGACAACCGGAGGAGAATTCTGAAAAGAGAAATGAGGAAGGCAACCTATTGTAGTTAAGGTGTCCTAACAGCGCAGCAGCGGGGCACTTCACAGTCCCCTCACCAATAGAAATAGCAATTATTTAGTCACACAGCTTCACTGAGAGGCACTTCATGTGGACTTAGAAGAACTGAGGAACCCAACTAGTTGACAAACAATTTCCTGCTGACTTGCACCCCCCAGTCCTGTGTGTAGGTAAACAGCATTGAGCGTGTCTTTGGTGTTTGTTTGCAGGTGGTTTACATCGTGGAGAAAAAGCATTCCCGAGCAGCCACTGGCTTCCTCAGACTCCTGGCTGATAAGAACAGTGAACTGTTCAGGAAATATGCCCTGTTTTCTCCCTCGGACCACCGAGTGCCTAGAGTATATGTGCCTCTCAAGGACTGTCCCCAAGACTTTGTGACCCGGCCTAAAGATTATGCCAACATACTGTTCATCTGCCGCATCGTGGACTGGAAGGAGGACAGCAATTTTGCCTTGGGGTAGGTGAGCTCTGGCAAGAAAACCACAGATCCCACATAGAATCTGGTTTAGGAGGCCTTTCAGTAACCTATTTTTTTTTTGTATATTTTGTTATGCTTTCTTTATTAAAGCATGGTACTTGACATATTTTGGTCCTAGTTCTTAAGAAATGGACCTTAGCTACCACCTCAAGTGGTTACCTCGAATTGCCGGGCAGTCATGTTTTTGGTTTGTTTTTGTTTTTTTAAAATATAAGCACTTTTTTTTTTTTTTAATCCTCATCCAAGGGCATACTTACTAATTTTTAGAGAGAGGGGAAGGGAGGAAGAGAAACAGCAATGCAAGAGAGAAACATCAATCGGTTGCCTCTCATATGTACCCCAGCTGGGAACCAAACCTGCAACCCAGGCATGTGCCCTAATCTGAAATTGAACCGGCAGCCTTTCAGTTTAAGGAACGACACTCCAACCAACTGAGACACGCTGGCCAGGGCGAGCACATTCTGACCCTCTACACATTTCCTCTTACGTCATGAATCCTGGCTTGTATCTGTGAACTGCAAAGAATTTATCGCATTAAACAATCCGAGCTCCCCTTTCAGACAGTAGTGTTAAGATATGCAGATTCCAGGTATATTCAGGGGACTCCAGTCTCCCATGCTTTAAATATGAGTTTGAAGGTGTGTTCGAATGATGTGCTTTTTTGGTACTGATCTTCAGAAGTTTCACTTACGGCAGTAATTGTAAGCAGGAAAAGGGTACCATATCTTTTATGGAAGTTGTCAGAAACCAATCTAACTTAAATATAGATTATGTAGGCACAGAGCATCATGGATAGCCTCTTTATTTGGATCTGAAAAACTGCTGGACCCAGATCTTTGATCAAATACTGTGCCTAATTTCTTCTGACAGTTGGTATTCGTTTGGAAAAAGTGATCTTAAGTTTTAATTAAATCTTTAGCTCTTTATTATTAATGATGTCTGGTTTATGCTGCACAGGAAATGAAAATAAAAGCGTAGAAGCCAGAAGAAATTTGTTCTGACATGTTTTGTCCATTTGGGTGTCTTGCTTGTTGGTCCTCTAACTCATGCAGGCCGGAGCCTCCGGGGAACGTTCTGTGGTTGTGAGCGCCAACGCTGAGCGGACGGCCAGTGCGCTGCTTTGATTGGGCTCACTCTGTTATGCCTCTTACGCCTAGTGAAGTGAGCCAGATCAAATCTGTATGCCGTACCTAATGCCATTTAAGAAACGCTGCCCTATGCCGCTCTTTTGGTGACAGGATCAGTATGACTTATGGGATCTCAGAGCCACTCAGGAACAGTTGCACTTTCTTTTTTGCTTTCAAGTGGTGTGATTGCAATGTCATCATTTTAAAGCCTAACTCATTATCCAAGAGTGACGTCAACCCCTTGAGCCCTGAATAGTCCTTCACGGAGGCTTGCCAGTTTCTCACCATCAACTCAAAAGGCCTGATGGTGGCTGTGCCACCTGGCCTCTGTTGATTGCGGCCGCCACACTCTGCTTGGCAGCGAAAAGGGAATACTTTCACATCATGGCAGGAAATCCCGCCTTGTTTTTATCTGACTTTCTGTCTTATCCATTGTGTGTACTTGACTGGACTTCTTAGCCTTCATGTTGTAAGGGTGTAGTCAGGAAATCCTCAGGGTGTGAGTTTCTCTTAGTGCTCCAGTGGCCTTGCTGGGGTTTTTTTTTTGGTTTTTTTTGTTTTTTTTTTGTTTTTTATAGCTGAGCCGTTACTTCATCAAGAACTCTGTTTCTTGTAAGTGAAGTACAATAATAATTGCAAAAGGAGTCAGGCTTTTGAAGCAGTGAGGACATTTGCTGAACCTAAATAAAGAATATTTAAAAATAATAACCATATGTTAATTATATACTTCTCAAAATAAGAAAATTTGAAGATTCTCATACTTAGACGGAAAACTCGGATAACTTTTTCTCTACCTTCTTACTATAAAGACATTAAAAATGACCTTTTATGGAAATATGCCTTTAAAAATCTGTGAAAAAGAGCAAATTTATCTTAAGTAAAATGTGGCAGGTTTTCATGATGCAGTTCTCAGATGACGTCTGTCTGATGAGGGGTGCGGGCCGCAGCTGCCGAGCACGTTGGTGGTCGCCCTGCCATTTGGTTCTGGCTATCAGTTACTGATCTTTAGGGACTGAGGTCACTGTTTCCCAATCGGAACATGCTGTGCTGTGACTGCCTGGGTCTCCTCTCTCCTCTTTGCCAGATTTTGACCAGGAGCGTGAAGGTAGGACTTGCTGTGAGTGTGAATGTGTGTGGTTAGCTTCTGCAGAAATTATGCCTAAAAACAGAGCTTAGCCAAAGAGGCCTTCTTTTGAGCTTTTTCCTGCTCCCACACTCATACTAATTATTCAAGTCCAAAATCATTTACTCCTTCTGTAGTTAAATTCTGTTCATGAAACAAATGTTGATCAACTATGTGTACGTCACTATGCTACATTATATGAGAAATAGAACTGTAGAAAGCTACGGTTTCTTTATTCAAAGAAATCATAGCCTAGTGTGGAAGGACTTGTACATAAATGTCATGGGATTAATTTAATTTTAAGACATGGAATCCTACTGGAACTGATTTAAATAAAAGTGGTGGTTAATATAAGAAACTGGTGGTTCTCCTAAAACCCAGGGGAAGAAGTATAGGCAAATCTCATGAGGAACTCAGAACTAACAAGGTGGCAGCCTCTCTCTCAACCACCTGATGAGTCCGCCATTTCTCCATGCCTTTCTACCTATGAGCTGTGCCCTCTGCTGCTTTCTTCACAAGAGCCGCCTACCTGCTCAGTAACCTACACAGACTCAAAATGACACTGTGGATCCTCTGCAAGTCACGCACTGAAGTCTAGATCACAATACAGAATTTCTAGGGTAGAAAATCTTATTAATCTAGTTTGAGACACTATTTGCCCTGGTCAGTACTTTCAGCTAGAGGAAGGGGTCCAAGGTCCCTTGGCCCTCTGCCCAGTTAGCAGCTCTCTGGGGCTCAGCTCTCTGTGAAGGAGTGTGGATAAAGCAGACAGATTGAATGGCCTGTGTCTTTGAGCTCCAACTGTGGTATGAAGCAGAATATTGTAAGTTCTTCCATAGGAGCACAATAATTTTCTGGACGTTTAGAGGATGTGGACGAAGAGAGAAATCCAGGCTTGTTTCCTGGAGAACGAGAGCCTCTTGGCTAAAAGCTCACTCCCTGGGAGTCCAGAGTGGGTGGGAGGGGACCCGACTGGAAGCGAGCAGCCCTGGTAGGCCCAGCCCTGGTAGGCCCAGCCCTGGTAGGCCCAGCCCTGGTAGGCCCAGCCCTGGTAGGCCGTTGTGGTAAGAGGAGACAGGGAGGGCCTGCCAGCGAGGCGCCGCAGTGAGGGAAACAAAAGAAAGGCGCCGATTCAGGGAAGACGAAGGCGGTCACTTCCCCCAGGTGTGATGGCCGACTGCAAATGGAGCATGAAGGAGGAGGACAGAATCCTGGATGAACTTCCAGGCTTCCAACTTGGGGGACTGGGTAGGTGGTGATGGCACTTGACCAGGGTCCTCTGAGAGCAGGCTCAGCTCCTGCCATTGCCTTCACTTAGGCCTCATGGCTTGCTGTTTCCCAGGCTGACTGTAGCCCCAAACTTTTGCACACTGTCTCCCGTCCTAGCAGTTGCTTTCTCCTCTCCCCCGAGTTTACTTAGTGAAATACTCAACTTTTAAACTTTTATCAGTTGTTCAGTCAAAAAAAAGTTCTTTGACTCTAGGTCCTCCTTCGTAGGTGCTTTTCATAGTTTCTAATAGTTCCATTGTTGTAGCTCTCATCTGTTTGTATTGTAATTGCTTATGTAAGTTGTTTACTTGGCTGTGAGCTCCTTTAGGATAGGATATTCAGGGAGTGTTTGCTGGCTGGTCAGATGGGTAGATGAAAATGATTTGATGACCCCCAATGTTAACTAGGACGATGTATGGGAAATCAAGCTAGAAAACACAGGAGAAGGTGTTTGGGACAGAAAAGGATGAGAACCAGGGTTCTAGGATTTCAAAATCAACACTTGTTAACAACATACAGCCAGTGTATAAACTCAGGCGGGGAACCCCTAATTTAGAATCTTTAACAAAAAGTATAAATAGAACATACATGTCATGGAATGTATAATTTCAGTAGCTTTGGAAGGAGACTTACGGAGGCCGTCCCTCTTGGTGCCCTCTTTGATGTGAGCATTGCTCCTCGGGCACCCCTGTGGCACTTCGGTGTCTCTGGCCAAAGGAAGCCGCACGATTATTACAGTACTGGGAACCTAGTTGTGAGAAAAGTGATTTTTCATCTTGTTCTTAGAATTGTCATAAGAGACCTCAGTTGAGCCTTGTTCACCTCTAAACATGGCCTTTACCACCTTTTCCTGAATCTTAGTCCTCTAGTATGATCAAGCCCTCAAGTGTTCTTAGTGAAACCTTGCTGGCTTTCAGAGATCACTGCTTTTTATAACACATTGCACCATATTCTGTACTTTGCGTATTTAGTACTGTATAGTCCAGGATACTTAAAAGGCCACGTTGACTTCCTTGCTGAGATGATTTGTAATTCTATAATCAAATTTACAGTTCTAACAGCTTACCAGCCCTCTTAAATCATCTTTTCCTGTAGAAACTCTTGCAGTGGCACGCATGCTTATATTTTCTCAGACCTTTTTGAAACCTACTGTCCTGGAGTCCAGAGTTTGCAGTCCCAGACTTCCCTTCCAGGATGTCATAGGCATGGAGACATCATTACAGTCTCTTTCTCCTAGATTTGTCATGGTTCTTTTTCTTGAATATTTAAGGATAAATCTTGAAGAAAATTGAAAAGTTTTACAGCAGCTACTGTGGGGAATATAATTGTGTTTCTTGGCAACGCTGAAGACTAACTGAAGATTTACCACATGAATTGACCTAGAGCAAATTGACATATTTATATTATTTTGTTAATATTATTTTCTCTAGCAAACTCTGGTAGCTTTAAGGGATGGGAAG